AAATCACTACATAAAATACCTTAAATATTAAATTTTTCAGAAGATGAGCTCTAATAACTATATATAGTTTACATTTGAGTAATTAGTTTCTTATAAGGAAGAAGGCTTTCTTAAACCAATTATATTTATGAAGATACCAACCTCTACCTGCGTAATTCAAGGGAGTTATGTTACTGCCAGTTTTCCGGCCCATGAGCAGAAGAACAAAACAGCCATGTTGCACTGATGGGCCTTATGACCCCAGCCCGGTGTATCACAGTCCTGTGCATCTCTCGGCTTGCCAGTGTATCATGTGTACGGATGTCAGTATAGGCTTTTCACATATTTCTTGACTGTTTTTACACAAGTCTCAGAATATACACATTTCCTTCATGTTGCAAATTGGAAAAATGGGTGAAGTATTGTGAAAAGCAAATTCTAGTTTTGCATGGAATTGTCATTGGAATATGCTTCTCTACAACTGCCAAGCCTAATATTGTGTTTGACATAGATTATTGGGTGGAAAAGAAGGGACAGACAGGAAACTGAGCCCTAATCTCTTAAAGGAAATAATGAAACAGATTCAGAAGTTTCCTGTTCGACTTTTGTTGGTGGTTACTATTTAAAAAGTTCACTTGTGCTTTGAATCAGCAGGTTCCATAGACCTGCAGGCTTTATGTGACACGTGTTTTCTTCTCCCCAAGGAGTCAGAGTGTTCATCGAAAAGAAAGCACAGCTAACACTTTTAGGAACAGAAATGGACTATGTTGAAGATAAATTATCCAGTGAGTTTGTTTTCAATAACCCAAACATCAAAGGAACGTGTGGCTGTGGAGAAAGCTTTAATATTTGACTACTCTGGCTGTAAGCTCCAGGAAAACTCATGGAAGTCCTAGGGCTTACTGAAGAAATCATGTGACTGTCATGTGCTTAAAGTTTATAATGTATGACTGCCTTATGAGGAAAATAAAATGATGCATTTTGGAAAGTGAAGCCAGTGTGTTAGATTCCAGAAGAAGCGATATTTGTATTCTTTTTAGAGGGCACAAAATGAGAAACCGTTGCTCTCTTTGGGTCATTTTCCTGATTTGTAAAGAAAAAAAAAAAGTCCTACCCTGCACTTAATTGTCTTGCATCCTTTCTATTAGAACCAGTTTCATGAAAGCTGCCTACCTGGGAGGATTTCAGGAAACGTATTTTTAATACGTGTGCACGCCATAGCTCACCGTTGAGAGTGGCGTGAACGTTCATTTCCCGACCAGATTGATGGCAGAAGATCCTGACTGCCGGCATGACGTGGAAGTGCACTGGTTTTCTACCCAAACTTGGCACAGCATTTCTACGTTTGTGTCCAAAATTTCTTTGTTAGATGCCTCATTTGCTTTACCCTTTAGCAGCACCAGCTGGTAGATGAAAGTATCGAACAAAGATTACCTTGAACTGCAGTGCAGAACAGTTCTGAGCGATGACATCAAAAGGTAAGAAATACTTCACCCACTATTTTTAATCCATTTCTTTTGCTACCCAGAACATCCCCTCAAAGGTGGAATCTCAAGCTGGCTTAGATCCTTTTGGTTGCAAGGTGTCTTTAAAGCCATCCAGCCCACTCCCTCAATGCTATACGTGGGGAAGCAACCCCCAGGGAACCTACAGGATGTCCGTCCACCCTCACACTGTGGGCTGTGTAGCAGCAGAACTGGAACTACACTCTCTCCCCTTCTGTGGAGGGGCCACTAGTTCTGCAGTCTGAGGCAGTCAGTGAAGATCAGTGTGTGGTCTGGCTTCTTTATCTGGTTGGCATTTTGATAAGATTTCTTTATAATTTGATGAAGATCATATTTAGTTTATTTTATTTTCAGTGAGAAGAATCTTATTTTAAAACCCACTTATGTGAGTTACCATCTTGTTTCTTTAGAACTTTGAAACAGCGGTTTATATTAGCAGAGAAGACATTTGTACCAACCCAAAAATATCCTTTTCGAATATAGTAGTCATTTTGAAGCAGAACATGAAGGTCTTTTCTTAAAATTCCCAATACGTGTACACTTTCTGGATCTCAAGTTCAGTGACTGTAATTCTTAACATTTTCACCACTTACTTTTCTTTGACAGCATTCTTTTTGTCATTTAGTTACTGATTTTCCTGGGTTTGACATACTAAGTGTTCTATGCGAAGACACGCTTTTTTTAAAAGCTGATTTTCATGAATTGAAGTAACTATTTATGTCCGTTGTATTTACTGAAGTACCTGGCACAAAATGCACCAACACTTAAGAGTAGTATCTATATGTAAATACTCATGAGTCCATATTGTTAATATATAATTGTCAGTTCACTTATAATCTGTGCAATACTGTACGTATGTAGAGATTGAGTTGTCAATAAAAAAAAACATGGCCTCCTTGTGATCCTAAAATTGCCTTTTCTTTCTAAGGAAGAAGGGTTTGGGAATAGTAGCTATTCCAGCAACTAATGAATAATGGCTATTTTTCTCTGACCAGTCTCGTCGCTTACAGGAATTTTCTCCACCAGATTCTGTTGCATCGTCGTCTTGCTTCGTTCTCCATGCAGCCCTTTGACAGAGCCATTTTGCATCCCTCTTGGCTCCAGACATCAGCATTCCCTTTCTTCTTCAGCCTTCTCTTCTCCCTGTTTCGCTTCCTCCATCCTCTTGCACAGATTCCTTCTTATGTTCTCCTGTCATAATCCCTACCTGGAATGCTGTTTCCAGATCTGTCATCCAGGCTTTATGTTCACCTTCAGAAGGATTCTTAACAGTTCACCTCAGGCATATTTGTAAGCACCTGCTCTCTGCCTTCCTGAGGTTTCACAGATGACTGGAGACAGTCCCCAGCCTCAGAGATCTTAGAGTTGGCAAATGAGACACCAATAAAGAGAATACCGTGAGGGTTGTAATAGGTAAAATTTATTGCATACTTGCTACGTGCCAGGAACTGTTTGAATACAATCTTTACAATAATCCAGTGAAGTACGTCTGACCCTTGTCATTTCATAGGTGAGAAATTAAAAGCACAACATGAACAAAATAGTTGACCTAAGTAACATGGTCAATGGCCAGGTCAGAATGACAGCCCGCCCACACCATCTGGTACCAGCCTGTGCTCCTAGCAGTTGGGCCATGCTACATGTTCTAGAACCAAGATGGGTGCACTTTCTAAGAAGTTATCTTAGAGGTTGTAACACTTAGGCCAAGTTTTAAAAGCCCTAAGAGATGAGGGGAAGAGGGAAGAGAATGGACAAAACTAAAAAGGATTGAAAACATGCAGGAAGCTAAGCGCTCCGAAGAACGTGAGGCAGCAGGGGCAATCGGACCAGGAATGTTGGGGCTTTCACTGGCTTCTGTAGTGTCACAAGGGCAGGGAGCCACTCAGAGTCATTACAAGGGGGCCATCAAAACATCTACATTCAGAAGTGTCTGGCTGGCTACCCTGTGGAGTGTGGGGAATGCTGGCCAGGGCGGAAGATGGAAGGAGGCACTGTGGAAGCCCAAGTGGGGCCTGAGGGGGAGACCCGTGTGAGGATTTGGAGGTGCCATTGGCAAGACTCCATTGTGAACAGACCAAGCTCAGCAGGGCTGTGGTGTTGTGGCCCTTAGCTAATCACACTAACAACACTTTACTGGGTTTTCCTGTTTTTTGTTTTTTTAGTCTCTTGCACAATATTGAAAGGTTTTTGAAGAGAGGAGCTTTATCATTTCTTTGATGTTCATTTAACATCAGGCATGTTGTAATTATTTTTGACCAAAAGACTTTCCAACAGCCATGTCCTGTTCTTTCTCATTTCAGCCAAGCTCCACTTCAAACCCTGGGCGTCCTCTGAGAGGTTACTTCATAGTGCCCCCATGTGACATGGAGGACATCAGCTGCTGTGGTGGGAGCTTCACGCAGAGACACAGCCGATGATTTTTTTAGTTAGAAGAGCACGCTTAGAAGCCCACTCCAGTGGCTAAACTATCCCAGGAAGGATTTCAGGAGACAGAGGCTACAGTGCTCTTCTGCTACCTAGTGTCTCCCTGCCCTCTGCCTCTGCCCCACAAGAACGATTTTCTCTTTGGCAAAGAGGAAAATAGGGAGGGGGTTGGAAAAAAATCTCTACAAGATCAGACATCCCTAAGATTTCCAGTACTTCCTAGGTTTCATTCATCAGGAAATACCTTTAAAAAACAGCCTTTCTTGTCTTATTTTGATGCCTGAAAGACCAGGAAATGGGAAAATCTGTGTTATTAAGCTGCCTGGTCATTCTCATGCCATCAAACAGCTGTGAGACCCCTGGAGCCTGCAGAGCTCTTTACAGGTGTCCAGTTTGTGCCTTGGCGCAGACGTGACATGGGCCACAAGATCACATCAACTCAAGGGTGAATACACATGTAACCAGCCTGATGCTGGGGTTCAGTTCGGCAGTTCATGAGATGCCGGCATGCAAAGCTGTAGGTCTGGGGGGAGCGGGGGAGATACACCTGGATTTAAGTCATGGGCTCTCTTGTGTTGTAGCCTTTTGACCTGGCACAGGTTAGGTAATTTCTTTGAGCCTGTTGACCCTTCTGTAGAACAGTCTCAGGATTTGGGGAAATTTGATGAGCTAACTGCATATAAACAGCATCCACCTTAGAGTTGACACTCAGTACGTTGTAGTTTTAGTCCCTTAGACCTGTAGTTATCAGTTAAAGCAAGAGTTTAGGGAAAGGAGCGTTTCCATACAATTAGGGAGTTACTGCCCCATATTACAATCTGTTGAAGGAGATTTCCTTATTTCTTTACATGACCACAACTTGTTTGAAAAGAACTACAAATACAATTATACAGAAAAATAGCTGATTAGCTATTAAGAGAATTCCCACGTTGAGGGGCCTGAGTAGCGCAGTTGGTTAAGTGTCTGCCTTCAGCTCAGGTCATGATCCCAGGGCCCTGGGATCAAGCCCCAAGTCCGGCCCCCTGCTCAGTGGGGAGCCTGCTTCTCCCTTTGCCACTGCTGCTCCCCCTTCTTGTGCATGCTCTCCCGCCCCCTTAAATAAAATCTTAAAGAATTCCCACATAGAGAGATGTGTCTTAACCAAGGAGTAATAGCTGAACCCCCTCCTTGGGCTGGAGGGTGAGGGGTCCACACCAGACTTCAGACAGCCAGGCTGAGGGTCCACCTACCCTGTCCCTCTGCAATGCAGAGCCCATGTTGGGGGTAGAGTCAGTGGGATATGTGATGTCGACTGCCTCCCTTGCTGTCCACCAAAACCTTCGTTAAAGACTAGAGTTCTCATGAATGGTATAGAACGTAACCTTCCCCAAGGCAAGTGCCCTGTACCAGTGATAACCTCCCAGTGTAAAACTCCCCTATGTCTTTGATAGCCCTAGTGGATTGCATCATGGATTACTTCCGTGAACAATTCCCAACCGTTCACTATTAAGTACACGTTTAGGGGCACCTGGCTCGCTCAGAAGAGCATGCAACGCTTGATCTCCGGGTCGTGAGTTTAAGCCCCACATCGGGCGTAGAGATTACTAAAAGAATAAACCTTACATGTTTACTGTTCTCCGTGGAGTCCAGGTCTTCAAGCAGTCCTCAAGCTTCAAAGTGTAAATAAATCTGAGGATCTTGTTAATAGTGCAGACCTGATCCCAAAGGTCTAGGGCGGCCTGGGGTTCTGCACGTTGAGCCAAGTTCCACGTAAAGCCCATGCTGGTGCTTTGCAGACCACCTTTGAGTAGCAAGGTTTTAAACTATCTCCAGAAGTACCTGGTTGTATTAAGTGATAATTCGCACCTGTATTTGTTTTTACCAACTACCCACCGCGGTGTTCAGGGCTTCTGATGGGCATGAATTGTGGCCGTGTTGCCACTCCTGAGATCACAGGGCCTCCCGGACTGCCTACCTGCCAGTTTTAACTCTTAAGTGCTGTCTGATTCCTTTCAGGATTGTGAAATACTAAATGTCTCAAGGATGCCCATTTCCACTTAGTAGCTTCCTTGGTGGCTGGGTCCCCAGCTCAGTCCCCACTGCATTACCCAGCACAACCAGGTGATCTGGACGGGCCCTAAGTCGCTTTGACCCTAATACTCTGGAACCAGAGTCTTCTCGGATAGACCAAGTTTGACATCTCGGAGGGGAAATCTTGCACGGCCCTTCTCTTGAGTGGCCACATAAGGTGGCACAGGGCCTTGCCTGTCCTCAGGAAATGTGTTTTGTGGTAAACTGCACATAACAGAATTTACCATTTAAACCACTTTTAAGGGTGCAGTTCAGTGGCCGTTAAGTACCTTCACATTGCTGCACAACCATCACCATCCATCTCTAGAACTTTCTCATCTTTCCAAACTGAAACTCTGTACCCATTAAACACTGTTCGTTTCTCCCCACCTTCAGTCCCTGGTAACCACAATTCTACTTCCTGTCTCTGGACTTGTCCACTCCAGGCCCCTCAGCCCTGCAGCCATACAGCATTTGTCCTCTTGTGTCTGGTCAGGGGATACATTTTTAATCTTCATCAGCAGGAGGGTTAGCCTAAACAGTTACTACTGTTGCTCTTTAACCCATTCTGATGGAGTCCTCTATTCAGCTGTGAGACTGTCCATTGATGATGTGTCTGCTGATGGTTATTTATGAACAATTGAGGGCAGTTTAAGAAAAGCATCAAAAGACTGTGCCCTCAGCTGACCCAGACGAAATTCCTTATGAGGATTCGGGAGAAACAGGTAAAACGAAGTTAGATATATAGCACGACCCTCACTCTTGTCAGGGAACAAAGTCTAGAGACGCCATTAGGTGCTACAACAGATCTTATTTTCTTTCCAATGCAGCCCCAGTCCACTACCAGCCCAACTATGTGGGCAGACATAGGAAGCAGTCTTCTCCTAGTAACTGCCTCAATTTCTCTTCTGCATCTTGTACATATCTATAGAAGGAAAAAACTTGACAATTCAGCTACTTTATGTTTGCTTTTTAAAATGTCTGTCCATCCTCCACATTCCACCCATTACCCTCATGCAGGAAGATAATCCCCTGACGCTTCATGTCACGCAGCTGTTTATGTGACCTTGAGGAGGTCCATATGTCACAATGCACGGTTACCAACACTAAGCATTGCCAGATACCAGGCTAGCCCAGGGGGTACCAGATGAATGAGGCCCAGCCCCGCTCCCAGACACACAGGTTCATGAACAAGATGGCCACATAATTACAACGCAAGTGGTAAGTGCTGTGACCGACCCACTCCTAGGGCATAATGAGAGAAGAGAAAAGGGAAAATTCAGCCAGCTTGGGCGTGGCTAGGAGAGGAGGGGTGAAGTGGGCGGTGGAGAGAGACAGGAGAGACTGGCGCTGAGAGATGAGGTGGTAGCTGGGTTTGTGTCTACAAATCAGAGCTGGGAAACTGACCTCCTTCCATCAGGTCACAGGAAGCTGGACCCAGCTGGTCATGACTGAGCCTCACCAGTCCCCCTCTTCCCTTGGGGCCTTCACTTAGCAGCCTTGCCCTCTTCCTGGGTTTCTGTGCCTTCCTTCCCCACCATGTTCCCACCGACTCCTAGCCCTGACTTGGCTCTACTCTCACTACACCTGTCCCCACATCCAGCCCTGAGAGTGCATGGCCTCAGTAGAGAGGACAGTCTGAAAGGAGGAGATCAAAAAATGGTAGAGAGCTTCCTCTCCCGGTTTCCAGAACCAGCATATACAGACAAGCTGTTTCCCTTGGGCCCAAACTGGGTGGAAATAAATGAACTCCTCAAACTGGCTTCCATCCAAAGCTGCCAGGTGTTACCTCCTGCCCCTGCCCAAGCAGGCCTGTCAGTCCAGCCAATTACTGAGCAAGTATCATTCCCTGGGGTCTGTCCTCAGAGCTCAGAGGACAGTCAGCATCGGTCGATGGCAATTCCTTTGGGTGGAATTGCAGTGTTCCAATCCATCTCACCACTGCCTACCCCAGCTGCTACCCACCTAGGTAGGGTCTTGTCTTTCTTCTTCTGTTCCATACATACTACCTTACATTTCAGGTGCTAGGAGCACCCATAAGCACACCGTGGTGGTGTGGATGGCAGATGAAGCTAAGGCTGGTCACCAAGCCAGTGCTTCCAGACTGGCCTAGGATCCTGCTCAACATTAGCCAGTTCCCTGGAGAAGAGGTGGGAAAGTAAGCCCCACTGCGGCTGCGCAGCTTGTCCTTGGTATCAAAAGAAGTGGAGTATAAATGGTTGTAGGTGTGGAGATGGTTGGGCACGGTTGGCATTGACCACAGGAAACCCCAAGGACATCTGTTCCTCTTCTAGGTTGGTGAGTGGAACAGTGCCCCTCCTCTGGTTTCTGTTTTTGGGAGTCTGGCTCCTTCCTTTTGGGATTCTATCCTATAGGTCACATGCTGCTGCCTCCACCAAGCAAACCAGAATCAAGCAGAAATCTTCCCTGGAGCCTACACCAGGTACTGATTCCCATTTTTAAAGACACTGGCATCCTCTGTTGTCCTCTCCTGAGGTCCCTGAGCTGCTCCCACGTCCCCTGCCCTGAGAGCCTGTGACACAGCAAACTGAACTGCCACATCACCATAAGATGCTCATTATCGCTTTCTTTCTCTCTGGCTCTGGGAGGATGGGGGCTGGCTCATTTGGAGAGGGCTCCAAGGAATGCCACTGTTGCCATGCAAATCCGTCGTGTTGGTTTGTTTTGGGCTTGCTTTCTGTGTGGGACCACACGGCTCCAGCTGCTCCAGCTCCAAGTGTTCATGGAGCCCTTGCTATCATCATGCCTCGTGTTGTGGAGGACACAAAGATGTCCCCCCGCCCGGAGATGACCCTGCAGGAAGAGGGGTTGGTCGTAGGAGGAGGAAGAGCATAGTAGTAGCAGGTGGTGGTGGTGGCGGCCGTGATTAAGCTGCTAGCACTTGGCGAACAAGTCCTGGGAGCGAGGCCGCCTTGCAGGCACTCTGCAGGAGTCAGCACACTGAATCCTCAAGCAGCTTCGGGGAGTGGACACCATACTTACCAGGCCCATTTTACATATGTGTATCCTGAATACTGAGCTCAAGGCTAGCAAGAAAGACCTTGATTCTCTTCTCCACTGTGCTCAGCTGGGGAAGGTAAGACCAATATAACTAAACAAGATGGAAAACAATAGATGCCATTGAGGAGACACAGGGACACTGTCAAGGAGGCTCAGAGAAGCAGGAGGACTACACAAGGGAGCAGAGGTGGGCTGCCGCTGTGAGAAGGGCACCGGGGCCTCTGTCCAGAGAGAACAGATAAACAGGCATGGACACAGGAGAGTGAGGGCCGTGGGTGCCTTGTGTGTAGGCGCTGTCAGACGATCCACCCTTGGGAGTAGAGCCACCTGACAGGGAAGTGGTGGGGACACGGGTGCTTATGGCTGCTGGCTGGGCTGAAAAGCCCTCAGCACTAGGCAAATGCGCTTGCATGCTGTGGGCCACTGAGGGTTTTGAGCAAGAGCAAGTCTGGATCAGAATTCTCTTTTAGGAAGGGTTGACCCAGAGTGGCTTATAGAAAATAAGACGTTGGAGCACAGGATTTCTAGGGCACTAAAACTGTTCTGTGTTATGTGTAATGGCGGATACGTTTGTCATCACCCACAAGATGTACAACACGAAGTCAACCCCAATGTAAATTAAGGACTTGGGTTAATAATAATATTGGTCCAGTGCACCTGGGTGGCTCGGTCAGTTAAGCATCTGGCTTGATTTCAGCTCAGGTCATGATCTCGGGGTTGTGAGATGGAGCCCCGCATTGGGCTCCACGCTCAGCAGGGAGTCTGCTTGAGATTCTCTCTCCCTCTTCCCTCCCCCGTTCACACTCACTCACTGTCTCAAATAAATAAATAAATCTTTAAAAAATAATAATAATAATATTGGTCCATCAGTTACAATAAATGCATCACACTAATGTGGGGTGTTAATAGGGGATGGTGGAGAAATGTGAACACTTTTCAAACAATTTTCTGTAAACCTGAAACTGCTCTTTAAAAAAACAAAGTATTAATTATTCAGAAGTTTTTTTTTTTAAGATTTTATTTATTTATGAAGGGGGGTGGCGGGGGAGCACAGAGGGACAAGCAGACCCTGTGCTGGATGTTGAGCCTGACGTCGGGACTCAATCTCATGACCCTTAGGTCATGACCTGAACTGAAACCAAGAGTCAGATGCTTAACCAACTGAGCCGCCCAGGTGCCCCTCAGAAGACTTTTTTTTTAAGAGCTTTTTAAAAAATTTCTAATTTCAGTATAGTTAACATACAGCATTATATTAGTTTCAGGTGTACAATAAAGTGATTCAGTAGAAAAGATGTCTTTTATTAGCAAAATAATCAGATAGCTGCATTCCTAAGAAACTCGGGTTTTCAAAAATTACATTTTGAAAGCAGTTATTTCAAAGGAAGGATTGACAGTTTCGTTCATTTTTTTCCTACCAAAATTTAAATAATAAAGGTCATTTTTTTTTAAGTTTAATTAAGTAATCTCTACACCCAACGTGGGGCTTGAACTCACAACCCTGAGATCAAGAGTCGCATGCTCTTCCGACTTAGCCAGCCAAGGGCCCCAGTAGAGGTCATTTTGAATAGTTGGCTGTGTACAGCCATAAAATCCACATATCAGAAAGCACTCTGGCCTTTGCGTCTTGTATCTGCTCAAGACTGATAAGCTCTCTGGGCATATCAGCCGCGGCAGGGTGGTGCACACCACCTTCCACAATGCACTCCCCAAGCCATTTTTCTCACCTTACTCCCCTGCCACGTGCTGGTAGACAAGGCCACTCCACGGATCTGTTCTTGGCCAGTGCCACAGGCTTCTTCTCTCTTTGAGGTGCTGAATCTGATGGATCCATAGTTCCAATTCTGATTGCATTACAATCAATAATAGCACGTTGTATTCCCTAGTCAATTGTGTTATATGCAATTCATCCGACAAGCCCAACAGAAGGCCTGTAATAACAGTACCTACTCTGTGCTGGCCACTATGCCACACACGTGGGGGAGATGGGCAGACAGATTCCAAGGCTGAGGAATCTGGGGAAATCCACCAGGAAAGCCCAGTAGGCATTTTGGTGAGAAAATCATGCAAGAGCTAACAAAGTCCAGATGAATCCTTGGGTCCCTGTGGGCTCGCACCTACTTTCCAAGGGGTCCTCTTCTCAGACCAATGTTCCCAAAGTGTGGAACCTCGTAACCTCTCCAGGCATCTGGAGGTTTCAGAGGAAAATGCAATGACACAGTAGTAGTCACACATCTTGAATTGGAGATGTAAGATTGTAGCGACTTCACAAAAACCCTGTTTTGTTCACAACCATTCCATATTTAAATGTTGAGCATTTTCCATAAGGACAGCATTGATCAGATTGTCTTAAGTAACAATTGATTTGACAAGGTTCATCCTGGTTAATGTATTTTTCACACCATTGGCTGGCTTACCAGTCGATTTGGGTATCAAATTTGCCATTATTTTTTTAAGATTTTATTTATTTATTTGAGAGAGAGAGAGCATAAGCAGGGGGAGCAGCAGAGAGTGGGGGGAGAAGTAGGCTCTCTGCAGAGCAGGGAGTCAGATGCGGGGCTCGATCCCAGGACCAGAGATCATGACCTGAGCCAAAGGCAGACAATTAACCAACTGAGCCACCCAGGCACCCCTCAAATTCACAATCTTTATTATTGCTATTGGGTTATATTTTACTCCATTTCACTTTTAAAAAAAGGGATTAGTGGCCCAAAAGTGTTCACAGAAATGTAAAATAATGATGGAAACAGTATTTTATATTCTACAGATCAGAAAAATCTTTCAAATACCCAAGGTAACTGTGAGTCCAGAATGATTTAGAATGTCAGGATTTGTTGGGTCAAGCAAACCTGCAGGTGTAATTTTACACAAAGCAGTTGAACATTAAAACTTACTAGGAGATGGGTCTGGATCTCAGCATCATGAGCTCAAGCTCCACAGTGGGTGTAGAACTTACTTAGAAACTTAATGGGAGGTGCCACAATGAATATCTGAAAACTGAATTTAATTAGATTGGAGCTTCTGCTTGCCCGGGTCTTCCCCAGCAAAGTTACAAAACCTGGTCAGAGGGTGCCACCAAAGCTTTTGAGTTCTTCAACAGTAAAAGGTGGTGATGATGAGGCACTTTTCCAGAAGAAGTACAAAAAAAAGGACAAAATGATTCATTGCTGAACACAGAGTAAATACAAAAATGGCCAATCTGTTATTCAAAAGCTTTACTTACTGAAGCAGATAGGTACATGTTACCATTCCATTAGAAACCTGTCTACAGAGTTACTCACATACATTATGTTCCATGAGAAACAAAATGAGCTCGTGGCCAAATAGTTTAATCAAAGATCTTATTCTTTTGAGATTTTTTAAAATTAATGTATTTGAGAGAGAGAGAGAGAATGTGTGTGTGAGAGCGGAGGGAGGGGCAGAGGGAGAGGGAGAATCTCAAGCAGACTCAGCTGAGCGTGGAGCCCAATGCAGGGCTCGATCTCACGACCCTGAGATCATGACCTGGGCCAAAACCAAAAGTCAGATGCTTAACCAACTGAGCCAAGAGGCACCCCTTTAGAGATTTTTTAAATTTCATTTTGTCAGTTTATTTAGGTAATCTCTATACCCAACATGAGGCTCGAACCCTGAGAGCTAAGAATCACATGCTCTTCCAACTGAGCCAGCCAGGTGCCCCATCAAAGATCTTATTGTACAACGATTAATAATCTACAATATAACAAAAGCGTTTCCAGTTGCAGATCTGTGCTGTATGTAAACACGAGGAAGGAAGCCACAGTGATGCTTTGTTCTGTGTCACTGAACCTGCAGTGAAAAGCCATTGGAGGGGTAGATTGTAGACAGAAATAGATGACCAGGCGTCCTACCGCAGGTGCAGTGGAGGGAGCAATGGAGGAGGGCTATTGTTCCAGAAATGAAGGAGCTGTCTCCACCCATCCACACACCTTCTCGCTCCCAGGGAGCTACTTCTTGGTTATGATGCTGTTTGGACAGATACCGTGAATGCGGCACACAATCAAGTTGTGGTCACCGCATGTCCACTCTGCCCTGTAAAGAAGTGGGGACAAAGGGAGACCACTGATGTACGTTAAAATGATGGACTGAAACCTCCAGGGGAGCCTGGGTGGCTGAGTTGGTTAAGTGTCTGCCTTCAGCTCATGCTCCCAGGGTCCCAGATCGAGCTCCACGTCAGGCTTCCTGATCAGTGCGGAGCCTGCTTCTCCCTCTCCCTCTGCCCCTGCTCATGTGTGCACTCTATCGCACACTCACTCTCTCTCTCAAATAAATAAAATCTAAAAACAAAAACAAAAAAAGAAAAAGGAAAGAAGCCTCCAAGTAATTTCATGCCTTGACTTCAAAACTGCAACACAAGAATGTCTGTTAAAAAAGACATCACCAAAGGTAAGATGCTGAGAGATGCTAACATCAGTAATATTTTGGAAGTTGGAAGGTAGATGGATGAAGGGCTACTAATGGTTTGGCAAACTGGAGGAAACTGAGAACCAGATGGCCCTATTATGCCCCCAAATTCTCAAAAGTCTCCACTGCAGGCGACACCATCTCCCCGATGGGAAAGCTGGGCCGAGAGGGTGGTCGTTGAGCACTGCATGAGAAGGTGGACCCCTGGGCGCCCTGCCCATTTCACGCCTCTGCCTGTAACGCAAAGGATTTCTCTATGCAGAGGCTAACACAGGGTCCGCAGACTGGGAGAGCCAGGCCCAGTAGAGGGTGTTAGTATCATACCGGAAAATAACCAGCAGTCACCCAAACAAAACAAGGGATTCTGTGAATGTGTGTATAGTAAGTGCCTGATACAGGGACCCCTAGCCCTACCCCTGCTCTGCATTTATCCTGTCACCGTGAGATACTTCGCACCCTCCAGACCAGGGAAGGCCTGAAGGTGTTCACAGTATGGGATCCTCCCCCAAACGGTCCACCCAAAGCCTAAAGCCCCATCAGTGTGTGTAGAGTTTCCTGCCAGCTTTTTAGCACCCCATTTGTACTCATGAAAAGATAATCAGCTCACCAGACATCTGAGGACTGCCCCTATCATGGAAGTTAGGGGCCAAAACAGGA